ATCTGATTTGTAAATTGAAAAACATGGGCCTTTTTGTCTTGGGGGGGGGCATTATAAAGAAAGTATAGTGTATAGTGTTCAGAGTTTCATTTATTACTGCTATAATTTTAATATAGTCCCAATTCCTTTTATGACCAAACTTCCTCAGCAAAACATAAGCAATTTCATCTCAAGGACAAAGAGAATAAATGTTCCGTAACAGAGTAAGAACAAAAGATAATAATTCCCACAGTGGACAATAAATAAAAAAGGGGGTAGTTCCTGTTTCTTTTAAAAGGAAATAAAAAAGAAAAAGACCAGAGATATATATACCAAAATAGATATATATATATATATACCAAAATAGAGTAAAACAACAAAGTTATTTTAAGAATAAATGAAATACCAAATCCTTAAATAGAAATTGGTAGAAATGTAAATGAAATCCAATCACTTTAACTACCAATGGAAAAGTGTTCATGCTGTTGAGTTCCATGCAGCAAAAGAGAGTGGTGTTTAAATCCAAAATGAAACAGTATGAAAAATTCCATAATCCAACAAGGGGCTATGAGATAAATCAGCATTCAGCCATATGTTTAATAGTTAAAAATGTAGGTCAAGACAAAAGTAAGCTTCAAAACATGATGTTAAAACTGGGGTGTGCCTAAAGAAATGACGATTGGAAAAGGTGAAAACCAGACCTCTGATTGGATTTACCAAGAATTGCAGTCCGCTGGATTCTATTCCCAGGCAAGTATACAAACATCTGAGGGTCATCATGTCATTATTCCAAGTTACTCCGGTTCATGACCTGAAGAACATACTGCCAAAGAATTGGTTTTGACAACAAAGTTAGCTGTTTGTCAGCAGGATGAAAAAAAATCACCCCATCTCTCAGTGTGCCATTTTCTGGATACCCCAAATTTCACTGTAAATATATGAAGAATACTGAATAGGTTCAGAAGTAGGGAAAGGCCAAGAAAGTTAGATGGAGCTGATATCCTGAAAAGTGAGAGGAGAGAAATTCAAAAATTAAAAGTAGTGCAATATATATGTATCATTGTATGAGCTTGGTGAAAGCAAGTACAGGTTTACAAAGATTGAAAAATATGGAGAGGTATAAGATATACTGATATAAACAAGATTTAATTATATTTTATTTTTTCCATGCCTTATTTTTTCTTACCACTATTTACTGTTTTCCTATGCTTTCCATAATATTGCTTACATTAAAGAAAAACGGCATGAAGGATATTACATGTGGATCTATGCAGAACCATTTGAAGTTATGTTGAATCGAAATTCCCAGAGCTACTCGCAACTGCTTTGGGGTTTCGATGCCCACACACACACACACACACACACACACACACACACACACACACGTACGTGTGACCCATCTTTATTTATATAACTTATATACTTATTATCCATCTTGTCTAGAGGCAACTCTCAATAAAAGCAACAATATGAAACATTAAAACAATAAATAAGAACACTAAAATTGATTTAAAAATTAACAAAGATGGAAAGTAAGGGAGCAAGATTCATACAGGGAGGAGGTGGGTTCTAATCTTAATCCATTACTCACCTACAGATTGATGATACACCCCCATTGGTGCCCCAGACCAGTTGGCAGAGCCAGGTCTTCAGGCTTTTTCAGAAGACTAAAAGCATGGCTTTTACATCAGAAGGCATGATGTTCCAGAGGGCGGGAATCTTTATTGCTGTTTATACCATCGCACACATAGCCATCATTTGCGATGCTTTTTGCCAGATTCTGACATTTCAGTTGTGTGTGTGGGGGGGGAGGGGAATGGCTATTTGGGAGAATAAATTAACTTAACCACTATGGCAGTTGATTAATGATCACTGTAAAAAAAGTTTGTAACTTTGAATGTGGTTAATATGAGGTTCAGGTTAAAATTGCAACAGTTTACTACTGTAATGCTGGGCACAATTCTGCTCATATGATGAGGAACCAACAAGAACCAACACATCCACAATCTTTTTACATGTATGTTTTAACAGTACCACTTTTAAACCTCACAATATAATCACAAACATATATGTGCTTTGTATAATTGTATAAACATTCTGTAATATGCTTAATATAATTTCTATAAAAATATAAAAACTTTTGATCAGAAAGAGTTGGTAACATATTTTCTGGCTACTAAATTTTATTTAGTAAAAAAATTGTGAGCTGCAATTCATTTTGTCAGATTCATAGAATGAGTACCTTGATGTAGATTGGTATGGGGCAAGCTAGATTGATTGTGCAAATACAAGTTATATGTAAAATGGCTTACAAGTACCTTAGTTATTAATTATTGTAATGTGTTAAAAAGCTATTTGTTGAGACCTTAATATATGTGCTCAAAGTTGCTGTTAAAGTTTTGCTTCTCCAAAATGATCACTTTGAGGTCTGCAGCAGAGTGTTCTGGTAGGTTGAAACCTTCTGATAGTGCTTTGTCCTTGTCAAGCTTGTGTCTGGTTCTTTTGCATAAATTTTTTCCCATTCATCTATTACAGAATCCGGAGGGACATTGCTTTGCAATAGACCAATGTATGTGATTCTGCAGAAAATTCACAGCATATGTTACTAGACACTGAAATCTCTTTTCATTTCTAACCTTATCTTGGTATTGTTCACCTTTATCTTCATAAAAATAAGTTTGAAAATGCATCAGCAAAACTTAAGGAAGTTTTAAATCCGGAGAAGAGACTGATGACAAAAAAAAGTAACGTGAACATGTCCCAAAAGTGCTTTTTCAAAAGCTAACTGGACTTTCTTGTTTTTCTTTGAAGATGGTTCACTTCTCATCCAAGAAGCTTGTTCAGTTCTGTACATAGCTAAATGTCTATGGAGATTCTCAGTCATCCAGTCATGATTGTCCCAAGAAGCTGAAGAAGCTTCTTGGATGAGAAGCAAAACATCAAAGAAAAACAAAGTTCAGCTGCCTCTTGAAAAAGCACCTTTGGGACAACCATGACCTGGATGATAGAGAATCTCCATAGATATTTGATGTGGACATGGTTTACTGCACAGTGTTCCATTAACAACTTTAAGTGATTTAGTTGTTACAATACCTTGTATGAGATAGCGTATGTTTTATACATTTCTTTATTTTTATTTGTTAAAGAAATCTATATAGTTGTCCGCAAAGGTGATTCCAGTGACCTACAATATTTAAAAAATCCACCATATAAATCCACCATTTAAAAAACCTACCTTTTACCTCCATGTCAGCAACAACATAATCAAATCATCTAGTTGATGGGCTCTGTCTCCATTTGTGGCCCATTGACAAAACTATGATTTCAGGGCCTTTTGGAAAAGCAATAGGATAGCAGGCAACATATATTTTTTTTTACAAGAAATATTTCTTTGGATGGTTTGATCCAGCTATTATGGTACTACTTCCCTTAGCAGATCCATTTTAGCACAAGTTGCATAGAATTGTGAGAATTAGTTGCCTTATACAGCAGCTGGCAGATCAATGTACTAATTTTGTGATGCAGTACTAATTTTATATGCAAAGACATTTACACTCTTCCTTATCATTTTCTCTGTTAATAAAAAAAAAAAAAGAATTGGTTTCATACACAGGAAGTCCTTGCTTATGACTTGTCACTTAGCAATTGTTTGAGGGTCCCCCAAACACACACACAGTCTTTGGAAAAATAGTCTTCCATGAAACTGGTCCCTGGTTCCAAAAAGGTTGGGGACCACTGCATAATAAAGTAGTTGTAAAAGTAGCAAGTGGAATCCCTAGAAACATTAGTTAAAGAGGACTTAAAGGAAATAGGTATCTGTAATGCTGGATAGCTGCTGTCAGATTAAAGAATTTTTAGTTAAATGACCTCATAGGATGAAAGTAAGAAGCTTTCTCATTTCTATATATATTTGCAGTACCATTAATAGAAGGCTGTAGACTTAAAGGACTTTTCCTAACCCACTTCTATAGAAAACAAAAACAATACACCTTACATATTTCTTAATGACTTTTGATTGGGACTTCTATACATATATACAAAATCTGTCAAATTCAGCAAGAAAAGTGTGTGTGCAAGAATGGATGTATCAAAGCTTTTGCTTTGTATCTTTTCACTTTTTGGTTCTTATTTTCTTGCTAAAAGTTTTGTTATCTTTTGAATGTTATATAAACTGAATGTAACTATTTGCTTGTGACAAGTTGTAAATGGCATCTCCATTTCTAAAAGAACCGCATTGTTATTACGATTTGAAAATGAAATCACTACTAAAACTACTGTATATATCATTTTTGAAAGGCTCATATATATGATAGGAATGAAACCCCCAACAGGAAGTCCAGCATTTATTGTATATGGCACAGGGCCAGAATATGTGTGGAGCCTAAGGACATCTACTTCATCTTATCAAATCTGATTGGGTGGGCACTGTTCTTAGCACTGGAATAGCGCTGAGGTGGATGAGAGGATTTAAAAAGGATGTTGAAAGCTTAACTTTGGTTTTTAATATTTATGGTTTTAATAGATATATTATGTTTTTTATTGATGTTTAATTGTTGATGGGGGTCTCTGAAAGTTTGATATAAGATGGCCAGCTACATAAATGTCTGAAAAAAATACCTCTAGGATGATAGTCCTAATCATTATTAATCTAATAATTAATTAAATCAATTAATAAATAATCCATTTACAGATCTTTTATTTGCTTAGATTTGGGTCTTGAAAATTTATAGCTCTCCAGATGTTGGATTCCAATTCCCTTGAAGTCAAGGCATTATTGTCAGTGGTGATGGTTACTGGATATTAAAATTCAGCAAGATAACAAAATAGAACTGCTGACTATACGGTCTTCATATTAGTAATTTTATGAGTGGAGAGAATTTGAGAGCATGTAGTGGGTAGTCTCAATTTACTGAATTAAGTTTCAATTTATAATGTCTATCATTTGTATTAGCACTAAATATTACTGCTTTTATTTGTTTTATCTACTTACTAATTTATTTTTAATTGACATTTTCTTTCAGAGATTCTACAAATGAAACTACTGCACATTCAGATGTTGGTAGTGAATTGGAAGAAACGCAACTGAAGGGGAAAAGAAAACGTGGTCGCCCTGGTAGACCTCCAGTATGCTATTTTTTTCCTCTGAATACCTGTTAAGATTTCATTTTCTTAATTTAAACATTAGCAATTGTTGATGCTGCTACCTATTTGAAGATTTGCATTGTGTATTGTACAAGTGGCATGCCATCATTATTATTACAACAGTTAACGAACTTGTAAGAAGAATTGACTTTTCATATTCCATTTTTAAAAATATTTACTGGTTATTGTTTTTGCCCAGGCATGAGCAACATCATAAGCCCCATGTATTATGAGGTAGGTCAGGGCTAAAATATCAATATATAACTCATTCACATGTCTTGGGAATTGTAAAGGAAAACAGTATGGAGAAAGATCAATCTCTATTCCAGCTCCTCACTGCCTCTTCTGTAACTGATTTGTGATGACTGATTCTATTTTAAATAAATATCAAATTTATATGTTTGCATGAAATTGTGTTAATGATCTGATACAATATGCAATTTAAAAAATGAGGATTTAATTATTTTTTATCATTAAAAAAAAGTCATGAAATTGCTTAAAAGCCGTCTTCTTTAACTCTATTAAATAAACAAACCCAAAACAAAATATAGCAGCTCCTCAGTTCATATGTTAATAAGCAACACATTATCAGTACTCCAAATCAGGTTGTTTCTTGTTCTGCCAGTATTACATTGTAATTCTTCTGTAAAGTGTTATATAATAATAACAAAAATCATCCTCTATATTTCACAAACCTCAATAGATTCCAAATAATGGAGATTATAGCCAAGAAGGATATGTATGTCCATATTACTTAGTAATCTAAATTCACAGTAACAGGCTTATGGAGTTAATCCAAATGTGGGAACGGCAAGGCCAAATCATCTAAGTGAATATTTCTACACTTGAATTGAAATTCTGACAAGAAATTAATTATAACCAACTCTTACTAAGCACTTTTTAAGGCATTATTCGTGTTAAGGTAATAATAAGTAAATAAAAATGTAAAATGTTTTTACATTTTAAAAACAATTTTCTGTTGCTTCTTAAAATAGGACATTCAGGCTATAAATTTTTATCAAATTTCTTCATCTTATAAAAACAAATTACAGGCTTAGAACTCTACTTATTTTTCCAAAATCTCTACCAAATATGGAATATCAGAAGCAGCTATAGCATCATTAAGTAACTGAAGTTTCATTAAAAGAGCTATCAACAAATATGTTGGAAAAATGAGGCAGTTTAAATTCTTCATAAGTTATAAACATTGTTCTATCAGAACTCAGTCAGCCCAAAGTAACAATACATGGAATAAAACAGTTTTCCCCAAACAGATTCTCCCACTACTATATTTTAAAGAAATTATTCCATGATATGAGCTATTCATAGTCCAAGGGTCAGATTATATCTATGATCAAGTAATTTCCATATTTATTTTATAACATTAATGCAGGAATTGAAACTGATTCCTGAAGAAAGAACTTATATGCTAGTGGGGCTGTGCATGCTTTGAAAATTATTTGTAAAAAGAGATTTAGATCTTAGACAAGCATAGCACTTGCTCTTCTTTAAAATATGCATAGCTTTCTTTTCAAGCTTTAGGTAAGTACTATGCTTTTGCAAGTTCCATTAAACTTCTTCCAAACAATTTCTGATACATGAAAGCAGTCCTGCTGGTTAGAATTTCAGTGAATCAGTTTGAACTTTTCTGAAATTCTGGTTCCTGCAACTACCTATAAAACAAAATCTATGACTTAGAAGTACAACTAAAGTAATGTGAAGGAATAAAAATTAGAACAACTTGTTAAATATATGTATCAAGTTCAGAATTAAATTTATCTGTAATATTTGTTTTATCACAACTGCTCAAGGAAATTATAGACACTTGTCCAGACTTTCTTTTATTTGAATTGAAATTGGGGATTCATCAGTTGAGAAAACTTAGTTATTTATAAAAACTTTATAAATAAAAGAGAACATAATCTAAAATACCAATTTCTAAACATGTCAAAATTATTATTCATAATAAACTCTAATTCATCCATTATATAGAATGATCATGCGTGCCACCAAGCTTGAGAAAAAAAATTAACAATATAAATTTTTATTTTATTTCTAAAGCATAGCATCACCTGCACATAGCAGAAATGTATACTCTGCCTCACACCTTCATAGTTTCAAACTTTCAAACAGATTGGGACTATATAAATATAATTTATATATAATTATATATAATTATTATATAATTATATATATAATTTATTTTGAGATCCAAGATTTAATAGAACATGTCTAACTACAGTATAGTAAGAAAACCCCAAGGTTAACAATAGTTTCTCATAAATACTGGCTGCTAGGTCAGGGGTGTCAAATTCAATTTCATTAAGGGCCGAATCAGGGTTGTGTTTGACCTTGGGGGGGGTGGAGTGGGATGGGAGTGGCCAGGGTGGGCATGGCCAGCTCGACATCACTTGTGTCGGGTGCGCCTGTGGTGGCCTGAGTACTCTGCCAGCGAAAATGAGCTTGTGATCTCCATTTTCGGCTGCGACGGCCTCCTGCAACCTTCTGCCAGCAAAAACGGAACTCGGGAGAGCAGCCCTCCCAAGCTCTGTTTTCATTGGCAGAGGCACTGTCCTTTGCTGTTTCCAGGGCAGCCCCATGGGCCAGATCTAAGCATCCTGCAGGCCCCCAGGCCTTGAGTTTGACACCCCTGTGCTAGGTTGTCTCTTTTGGGGTTCAAACCAGGGGTGAAATGCTCCCGGTTCGGACCGGATTGTCTGATCTGGTAGCGATGGAGGCAGGTGGTTTGGAGAACTGGTAGCAAAAATCCCTGCGCCGCCCCCCCTCCCCCATGCCCAGCTGAGCCGCACAATCATCAGAGGCTTTTTTTTTTTTTTTCTTTTTAAAAGCTTTTTTTTTACAACTTTGGCCGAAAAAATGCTTTTAAAAGTTAAAAAAAAAGCCTCTGATGATTGCGCGGCTCGTCAAAGGCATTTAAAAGAAAAAAAAAGGTTTTTTTCTTTTAAATGCTCTGACGATCCCAGCTGAGTTCCCTGATCGGCAGAGGCTTTCAGGGAACTCAGTTTGGATCGTCAGAGCATTTAAAAGAAAAAAAGGGTTTTTTTCTTTTAAATGCTCTGACGATCCCAGCTGAGTTAATCGGCAGATTGTCAGAGCATTTAAAAGAAAAAAAGGGTTTTTTTCTGACGATCCAAGAATGTATGTAGCAGTAAATGTCAAGGATGATTTCTTCTTTTAAATTTGGAGAGCAAAAAAAATCCTAATTCTATAAATTAGGATAATTTATATATAAATTCATCCAAGATGAATTCCCTGATCGGCAGAGGCTTTTTAAAAAAGCCCCTGCCGATCAGGAAACTCAGCTTAGATCGTCAGAGTCTTTTGAAAGCATTTTTTTTACAACCTCTTAGCCGAAGAGGTTGTAGAAAAAATGGGTTTTAAAAGTTAAAAAAAAAAAAAAGGCCACGCCCACATTACACACACACACACCCACCCACCACCAAGCCACGCTCACAGAACCGGTAGTAACAAATTTTAGATTTCACCCCTGGTTCAAACAGTTAGATCTATTAGAAATCTAATATTACTTTTTTTTTTGCAGTAACACTTCATTTTTTCTGTTACGTTACCTATTTTATTTGTTTCTGGTGTTACCTAATTTCATCTATACTGAATATCTCAAAAGTGTTTAATAAGTTGTAAACAACAATCTTGTTGCTGTAGGTACAGTTAAACATTGGAACATTTACTCTTGATATCAAGAAATATGTGGCTGTTTTGTGCCAAGGGGAAAGCAGCATTGTTTCATTTGTAGCAATAGTTTGATAATATGTTCTGTCATACATCAAGAAAAAAGGAAATGAAATACAGCTAAATCTAGTTAATGCTAACATCATTCACTGTAAAATAACAAAAAAACTCAAAGATAACATGAACGATGGTAGAGCTAAGTGCTATAGCAGGCTATTGAGAGATCATTGAGGGCTGGAATGGATGTATCCTCCCTTTCTGATCCTACCACAGTCCATCTGCAATATCCCGATGGGAATCCAAACTGACAAGGGTCCGGATATCTGCTTTATTCGGAATGCTTTAATTGTGCTTTAATTGTGTAGGCTGCCCACCTACTTAAAGGCCTTACCTAAAACAGGGAATCTGGAGACAGGACAAAAATTGTCCAAATTTGGGTTCTAGTAATGGTTTTTGAAGTGTAGGAGTGGTCCACCATTCTTTTAAGAGCAGGTGAAACTCCCTTGAAGATGCTTGCCATCTATGTGTAAGCACACACCATGTGGTGTGGGGCTCACCATCCAGAAGGAACATAGATTCAATGCACAATGACTGCACTTATAGGTCTGAGTATTCTCCCCACTTCCTTGATAACCAATAGATGTAATCTCTTCCAAATAACTGCTGGAGCATGCCTTAGCCAACTCAAAAAGACACGCACAATAAGAGTTCAACTCAGAGCAGATCAGAGTGACTTTATCTGATGCCCCAAATAATCTCATGTTCTCAGGTTTTCCTCAAAACAGTCTACTAGGAAGTGCTGGATCACCTTGATGGCCATCAGCAGAAGCAGTAAGAGCTTCTGCTGATAAAAATAATTGTGTTTTGCTGCTCTTATCACCATTAGATAATTCTTAACACAGGTAGTCCCTGATTTACAACCATTTGTTTAGCAACCATTTGCAATGGCTTTGAAATAAGCGGTGTATGGCTGGCCCTTGTACTTAACAACTGTTGCAGTGTCCCTGTGATCACGTGATCACAATTTGGTCATCAGGCACCCTGCATGCATTTATGATAGTTGCAGTATCACAGGGTCACATCATCACCATTTGCAGTCTTCCCAGCTGGCTTCTGACACACAAAGTCAATGGGAGAAGGAGGATTCATTTAACAACTGTGATAATTTGCTTAACGACTGTGGCAAAATTCGGTGCAGTTCAATGACCACATTGCTTAGCGACAGAGGATCTGGTGCCAATTGTGGTTGTAAATCAAAGACTATCCGTAAA